CTATGCCTGGGCGCTGTCCCTGAGTTCTTCAGCTCAAGGCAAGTGCTCTACCACTTGAGCCACAACACCACTTCAGGTTTTCTGGTAGTTAATTGGAGATAAGAGTCTCACGGGCTTTCCTGCCTGAGCTGGCTTTGAGCCTCAATCCTCAGATCTCAGCCTCCTGAGTAGCTAGGATTACAAATGTGGGCCACCAGCATCCAGCTTTTACTTTTTGGCGCAAGGGGGGGGGAGGGTTGGTGAATTTAGGGTCTAGGCACTGTCTTAAGCTTTGCCATTCGAGGCTAATGTTCTACTACTTTGAGCCATGGGTCCACTTCCATAAATTTTGGTGTTCTTTATTTCATTTAAGGCTTGTTTCATTTTAGCAAACTAAATCTTAGCCTTGTTCAGTTTAAATGCAGAAAATACCAACCTGAAATCTCATTAGTTTTAGAGCCAAGCAAACATAAAATCACCACCATTAGCTCCAATATCTACAACTGTTTTGCACCAACATAAAAAAAGAGGATTATTGGTACCTGCTGGTGTTACCTATACATCCAATTATTAAGTCCACTTTCCAAAGTTACCTCAGGATGCACAACTGACATTTAACTCCATTTTCATATGATTCTCCTCTAAACCCTTCTTTATCTAGCTGGTTACTTGATAGTCTAACTTAAAGCCCATTTTCCTTATGCAGGCTGAACCCCTCCACCTGCCTTCACCTGGAATCTATCTCAAAATAAACAAAACTAAAATTTAGACTATTACTTAGTAGTTCATTATCTCTCTTTAGGATATTGGCCTAAATTTACTAAGCTACCATGACCATTAAAACACACTGCTAGTCAATTCATTTAAGGAATAGCTATATAGAACAATGAATAAACACACAAAACCAGCATTGTTCCTGAACATATTGTTTCGCATTCATGTTTCTTTTCCCTAATGAACTATTCACAAGAGCTGATACATTTCATGTACAAAAGCATTAGCAAAGTTTTAAAAAGTAAGCATACTCTTCATAATTGCAATTTCTGTGAATGTCACACACATAAAATGATAGAAGAAAACAGGTTAAAAGGATACCCTTTTTAGAGTGCTAATTCCTGAGCAAATGAGCTCGGGGCAGCACCTGCAGGCCTAGTTCAAGCCCTATGATCAGTACACATATTTTAAAAATAAATAAAACACTAATTACATGAAAGAAAGCAATAAAAAAACACTTATCTATTCATATATTACCAATATTTTATAGATGAAAGACTTTGTCTAAAGCCAGACGCTGGTGGTTCATGACTGTAATTGTAGCTACCCAGAGGCTGAGTTCTGAGGATCAAGGTTCAAAGCCAGCTCAGGCAGGGAACTCCATGATACTCTATCTCCAATTAACCACTAGAAAACTGGAAGTGGTGTGTGACTCAAAGTGGTGGAGGGCAAGCCTTGAGCCAAAGAGCTTTGAGACAGTGCCCAAGTCCTGACTTCAAGCTTCAAAACCAACAAAAAATACTTTGTCTAACTCACAAAATGTTTAACCACTCCTTTCTTTTTCTTATCAATATCCTTTTTTCTTTTTTTTTGGGTCCAGTTGTGGGGTCTGAACTCTGGGCCTGGGCGCTGTCCCTCAGCTCTTCAGCTCAAGGCTAGCGTTCTACCACTTGAGCCACAGTGCCACTTCCAACTTTTTTCTTTTTGCTTAGGTAGTGCTGAGGAATCGAACCCAGGGCCTCAGGCATGCAAGGCAAGCGCTCTACCACTGAGCCACCTTCCCAGCCCCCTCAATATCCTTTTTTTTAATATATTTTCCTCACATATTTATTGGCACTAATTAGTTACACAAGGAGATTTCATTTTTGATATGTCTATACATACATAGTGTTCCACTCCTTTCCTAACTACAACTTTTTTTTGCCAGTCCTGACCTTGAACTCAGGGCCTGGACACTGTCTCTGAGCTTCTTTTGCTCAGGGCTAGCACTCTACTACTTGAGTTACAACACCACTTCCAGCTTTTTCTGTTTATGTGGTACTGAGAAATCGAACCCAGGGCTTCATGCATGTGAGGAAAGCATTGTACCACTAAGCCACAGTCCCAGCCCAAACTACAACTATTTAAGAAAAGACATACGGGCTGGGAAGGTGGCTCAGTGGTAGAGCGCTTGCCTTGCATGCATGAGGCCCTGGGTTCGATTCCTCAGCACCACATAAGCAGGAAAAAAAAAAAAGAAAGAAAAGACATAGATATCAATAAATGTTGTAGTATTTATGCCTAGATCCAGATTGCATTGCTTAAATTTTTATTTTCTGTCCTTTTAGGATCCCAGGGTCATACATTTTTTTAAATTTTGTTGTTGTTTATAAACAATTTTTAACAAATTTCATTCCTATTCCAGAATACTTTCATGCTCAAAGAGAAATTTTTGTTTTAAAAAGTTACACTAGTAGCCAGAAAAAAAAACTATACAGTATGTACTCAGCAAAGACCAAACCTTTAACTAAAGAACTACAGTAGATCATATTCAATTCCTGAAAGCCTACAAACCACACATTCCATTAGAGTCAATTTTACAAAGAATCAAACCATCCTGCAACCAGAAAGAAAATGAAGAAAGGGCAATATATTAGGATTAGAATAACTCAGTGGTTTTTAACTGCAATAGTTTGTCCCCTACCCCCACTCTTCACCTTACCTGACCTCATTTCCACCCCCATGAGTTTTTGATCATCATACTGGGAGGTAAAGGAGGGTCAGAACATACTGCTGGCACCTAGTGAATAAGCAGGGACGCTGCATCCTACAATGCCAAGATGCCCCCAATAATGAAGAACTATCTTTACTTACACAGGAAAATTAAGAAACGGATGGAATTTAAATATGAACACTTATCAGTTAAATTTCTATAGTGTAGTAATTTTCCTAGTTTCACAAAAGAATAACCTTCTCTGAGGGCAGGGATGGGAAGGGAAAATGGAGGAGAAAAAAGGAAGGAGTGAAGCTGGGCGCCAGTGGCTCACGACTGTAATCCTAGCTACTCAGTAGGCTGAGATCTGAGGAAGTGGTGCTGTGACTCAAGTGGTAGAGCTCTAGCCCTGAGCTGAAGAAATGAGGGACAGCACCCAGGCCCAGAGTTAAGGCTCCATGACCAGCAAAAATAAATAAATAAATAAAGTTAAAACAAATTAGCATTATCTTTTATTCAAGAAATTTTACATAATTTTCCACAGCATGTGTTTGCTATAGCAAAATAGCTTAATTTCACTTCTCAAAATCAATTGCTATATCTGAATAAAAATTGATATTAGGAAGTGGCGCTGTAGCTCAAGTGGTAGAGCGCTCGCCTTGAGCTGAAGAGCTGAGGGACAGCGCCCAGGCCCAGAGTTCAAGCCCCACGACCGACAAAAAAAAAAAAATTGATATTAATTAGCAAATTTAGCCTCAATTATGTAGGTAACCTAAAAAAATGTATTTTTTCTTTTTTACAAACTCTTTTGCTAAAAAGTGTAATTTTTAAAATGTAATCTGCACAAAACTAGAAATGCTTAGATGTCTTCTAAAGACATAACAAATGTAGTGTAGTACATACATGGCCAATATCCCTGAGTCATATATTTCAGAGTTTTAGTACACTATGAAAAGAAATAATTTGCCAGGCGCCAGTGGCTCACACCTGTAATCCTAGCTAAGAAAGCTAAGGAAGCTAAGATCTGAGGATCACGGTTCAAAGCCAACCCAGGCAGGAAAGTCCATGAGACTCTTATCTCTAATAAACCACCAGAAAAAAACGGAAGTTCCACTTTGGCTCAAGCAGTTGACCGCTCGCCTTGAGCTGAAGAGCTGAGAGACAGTGCCCAGGACCAGAGTTCAAACCCCATGACTGACAAAAAAAAAAAATTTAGAATCACATGACAGCTGATCACAATCAATAGGAAAGATGTTTAAGAAATAACAAAAAGAGATTTTTAAAGAAATAGATTTTCATACGAGGCAGTAGTGGCTCACATCTGTAATCCTAGCTATCCAGGGGGACAGAGATCTGAGAATCCTAGCTACTCAGGAGATTGAGATGTGAGGATTTGTTTGAGGTTAGCTCAAACAAATGAGACTCTCCAATTAACCATCAAAAAGCTAGAAGGGGAGCTGTGGCTCAAGTGGTAGACCACCAGCCTTAAGCAAAAGAAAAAAAAAATTAAAGGATAATGCCCAGACCAAAGTTAAAGTTCAAGCCCCAGTATCAGCACACAAAAAAGTCACATTTCTCAGAAGTTTAACCTAGCTCTGAATTCATGAACCATATCCTTCTGATTTTTTTTTTTTTATGTATTGAGTACTAAAATAGTATACAACATTTCTACAAAAACAGCTTCATGAAAAATAAGAACTTAAAATGACAAAAACGTAAAACAGGTCCTATCCTAGATGAGGGAACTAGTGGGAGGGGGAAAGTAAATGAGAGGGTGAAGGATGGTGTAGATGGCCAAAATACTTTATGTATGTGTGTAAAAATGGAACAATGGCCAGGCACCAAAGGCTCACCCCCATAATCATAGCTACTCAGGAGGCTGAGATATAAGGATCACAGTCCAAAGCCAGCCCAGGGAAGGAAAGTCCATGAGACTCTTATCTCCAATTAACCACCAGAAAACTGGAAGTGACGCTGTGGCTCAAGTGGTACAGTGCTAGCCTTGAGCTGAAGAGCTGAGGGACAGCACTCAGGCCCAGAGTTCAAGCCCCATGACCAACAAAAAAAATTAAAATAAAAATAAATAAATTTAAAAATGGAACAATCAAGTGTGCTGAGTTTGTTTGCAAATGGGAAGAACATGATGAGAAAATGATGAAGGGGGTGAGTCTGATCATGGTACATTGTGTATGTATATATGGATATGTCAAAATGAAATCTCCTTGTACAACTAATTGATGGTAATAAAAAATGGTAAAAACAAATAAGCACAACAGTTACTTTTAGAAAGTTATAATTAAAAATTTTAATCCAGGAAAAAACTTAGGGTACTTACAGATGTCTGGGACATACTTGACTGTTGTGTGACACTTCCTGTAGGGGATGTAGGTGGTCTTCCACTGGACAAACTTGCCTAAAACAGTAAGACCGTTGTAATATAAAAAGCATAAAGTTAAAAGCTTTCTGGAATAGGACACCAGTAGCTCAGGCCTAGCTACTCAGGAGGCTGAGATCTGAGGATCATGGTTTGAAGCCAGCCTGGGTAAAGTTCCTGTGAGACTCTTATTTCCAATTAACCACTCATAAACCAGCTCAAAGTGGTAGAGCACTAGCTTTGAGCAAGAGCTCAGGGACAATGCCAATGCCCTGAATTCAAGACCCAAAACAAACAAACAAACAAAAAACTTTCTGGTACCAGCATAATACAAAACCTCAACAAAACTCAGAAAGTATATGCATGAAACAAATTTTATGATCAAAATGGTGTTTGCCTTTGACAATCAGATGAAAAAAAGAAAGAAAAAGCTGAATCCTAAAATAAGACCCAACAGCTAATCTTATTAGCTGCATTCATTGTCAGTTTTGCTCTTTAGCTCTGTAATCTTTGAAGCAGAACCACCACTAGAATATTATGAAAAAGAAGCTGGGGCGGGGGGGAAAGAAAGAAAGAAAAAGAACCTGAAGCTGTACCAAGAGTCTGTGGATTCCAGTTTGCTAACTCACAATATAAACACATTCTCATTTAAAAGTATACTACTGACAAGAAGCAACAGCTAGTATCTGTTTATAATAGAAATACACCTTTTTCAGGTTCAGATAACTGAGATCCTCCTATCATGAGGAGATTTAGAACTGAATCTCACAGTTTCATTTAAATAATACAATCATAATGAAAATCTTTTTTAAAGGTAAACATTTAATCATAAAATGACTGTATTATTTAGCAGGAATAAGGACTGGATTTTAGAACAGTGAACATATGTGTTTTAAACATAAAATTTCCATTACAATGACTACCTCTGAAGAACGGGAACAGTAGTAGATGCAGAAAGAAATTATCTCTACGTCATTTGTTCCTTACTGTTTTGTAACTGTTTGGTATTTTTTAATGAATATAAAACACTTTTAGATCAAACAAATATAATTCATATACCATTCAGTATTCATTGTTATACCTAGAATTTTGAATACAAAATCATGCCTTTAACTCAGCATTTGTCCAGATGGATAAAAATCAGTGAGACAAAAGCTAGCCACGGACTCTCACGCTACTTATTTTCCCCCCCAACGTAGTTTCTTCAGAAAAAATAATCACAGAATATCTGAAAACTCTGAAACACCCTGTGTACTTATTTTTCACAATTATGTGACAAGAATGTTATACTTTGATCTCATCAGTTATGGATGTATCCAGTCTCACCTGCACAGCAGCAAGGCTCTGGAGCTGGGAGCTACTCAGATGCTGCTGCTGAAGGGCTGCAGTGTGTAGCATCAAGTGCTGCTGCTGAGCAGCATACATCTGCTGTAGGTACTGAGCAGCTGAACTTGGGGGACGATGCAATGCCTGCTGAATGACCTGTAGGAGAAGTCAAATTCCAACATCAGGTCATAATCTCAACCTTTATCTCTCGCTCTCTTTCTCTCTCTCTCTCCCCCTGCATCCCTCCCTCTCTCTCTGGTACTAAAGATCAAACCCACAGGCCTTGTATTTGCTAAGTACTTATGCTAATAAGCTATAGCCTTACCTTAAACATAAAATGAAGTACAGAAAAAACAATGAGTTTAAATTTTTACTGCGTTATAAGCACTGTCATTAAACATACTAGTTTCTCTCCTCCTTACATGTCACTAGGAGTTAGCAGTTATACCTAGTAGAGACAATATATGAAAGAAGAGCCAAATAAGCATCTGAAATACCTTTAAATTAAAACAAGATACTATTTTCCATCTTTGAGATGGATAAAAATTTAAAAGAATACTTCTACTGGCCAGGCACCAGTGGCCCACGCCTGTAATCCTAGCTCAGGAGGCTGAGATCTGAGGATCACAGTTCAAACCCAACCCCGGCAGGTATATCTGTGAAACTTATCTCCAATAAACCACTAGAAAACTGGAAGTGACGCTGTGGCTCAAGCAGTAGAGCACTCGCCTTGAGCTGAAGAGCACAGGGGCAGTGCCCAGGCCCAGAATTCAAGCCCCATGACCGAAAAAAGAAAAAGAATACTTCTACTAAGAAAATAAGTCAGCCGGTCACTAGTAGCTCATGTCTGTAATGCTAGCTACTGAGGAGGCTGAGAGCTGAGGACTGTGGTTCAAAGTCAGCACAAGTAGGAAAGTCCATGAGTCTCTTTTTTTTTTTTTTCAGTTGCGAGGCTTGAACTCCAGGCCTGGGCACTGTCTTTGAGCTCTTTTGCTCAAGGTTAGCTAGCACTCTATCACTTTTAAGCCACATCTCCAATTCAGGTTTTCTTGTGGTTAATCTGAGTCCCACAGGGACTTTTCTGCCAGGGATGGCTTCAAACTGTGATACTCAGATCTCAAGACTTCTGAGTAGCTAGGATTATAAATGTGAGCCACTTGTACCCAACTTCCATCAGACTCATCTCCAAGCCCCACGATCAACACAAAGAAAAAGAAAAAAGAAGTCCTCCTATAGTATGCTGTTAGTGCACTGAATTTCAGTTAGTATAATCTTTTGGCTAAAACTTGGTAAAATTCAGGGCATAGGTATGGTTAGGAATACTTTTGTCATGTAGTCATTACAAACTACATTTATCATACCGTCTACTACGTTATTTTCCTTTAGAAATTACTAGACAGTTTTTATTATTTTAAGTGTGAGATTCCAGGTTTTAATTATTTACATGCAGGAATAAAACTTTTAGTGAAAGAAAATAAAATTACTCCTAAAAAAATGCTACTTACAGAAATGGAGGGACAAAGCAGCAGTGGTACTCACTAGACACTATGTTGAAAATGAACTATACGGGCTGGGAAGGTGGCTCAGTGGTAGAGCACTTGCCTTGCATGCTTGAGGCCCTGGGTTCGATTCCTCAGCACCACATAAGAAAAAAGCCAGAAGTGGCGCTGTGGCTCAAGTGGTAGAGCACTAGTCTTGAGCTGAAGAGCTGAGGGATAGCGCCCAGGCCCAGAGTTCAGGCCCCATGACCAGACCCAAAAAAAAAAAAAAAAAAAGAAAATGAACTATACAACTTGTGAGTAGGGACAGGAGGGAAAAAACTGCAAGGGAAAGGGTGACATTGTCCAAAATGAGGTGTATTCATTATCTGACTTCCGTAACCATAATCCCCCTCTGCATATCACCTTTATAAAAACAATAAAAATTTTTAAAAATTTAATTGCTATTTGCAGCTGGGCATGTAATCCTATCTACTTGGGAAGATAACAAATAGAAGAATCACAGTTCAATGCCAGTCTGACAGAAAAATCCGCAAGACTCTCCAACGCAACAGAGGGATAAATGTAATGTCCATCTGTAGTCCAAGTCACAATGTGAAGCTTAAAATAGACACATCACAGTTCAGGCTTAGGCCTGGAAAGAAATAATACCCTATCTTTAAAAAAATAACCAATCTAGCCGGGCACTGGTGGCTCACGCCTGTAATTCTAGCTACTCAGGAGGCTGAGATCTGAGGATCCCAGTTCAAAGCCAGCCCGGGCAGGAAAGTTCGTGAGACTCCTATCTCCAATAAACCGCTAGAAAACTGGAAGTGGTGCTATGGCTCAAATAGTAGAGCGCTCTCGCCTTGAGCTGAAGAGCTGAGGGACAGCGCCCAGGCCCAGAGTTCAAGCCCCATGACCGACAAAAAAAAAAAAAAAATAACCAATCTAAAATGCATTCGAGTATGACAAATTATACAGGATTCTAGATACTCTTAAGAGAGAAACAAAGGCACAATGCCTAAATGCTTCTTCATATTTATATAAAATAATATATATACTAAAACAAGTTCTAAAATATGGAAACAAAGATTTTTTTTTAATTTTTAAGTTTTTAGTTTTTGATGATTCTATCTTCTTTACCTTATGTATGGTGTAGTCACATGTATATCTCGGGAGGGTGGGAGCAAGGCATAGAACTTGAGAGAAAAAGAATGAAGAAGTGCAGTAGTGGAGCTCATTGGACACTGATGAAAGTAAACTATACAATTCAGGAGTGGAGATGGAAGAAAGGGAGTAGGAGAGAATGAGGGAACAGAAGACAACTCTATGAAAGGAAATGTACTCTTTACCTGACTCACATAACTATAATCCCTCAGTAATCACCTCTATAATAACAATAAGGTAAATTAGGTTTTAAAAATATAAAAAATATGGGCTGGGAAGTTGACTCAGTGGTAGAGCGCTTGCCTTGCATGCCTGAGGCTCTGGGTTCGATTCCTCAGCACCACATAAGCAAAAGGAAAACAGCCGGAAGTGGTGCTGTGGCTCAAGTGGTGGAGCGCTAGCCTTGAGCTGAAGAGCTGAGGGACAGCGCCCAGGCCCAGAGTTCAGACCCCCACGACCGTAAATATATATATATACACATATATATATATATATATATAACAAAAATATAAAAAATAGAAAATAACCAGTAAGAAACAGGGCTAGAGATGTGGCACAGCAGTAGGGTATCTGTCTAAGAAGTGCAAGACCCTGAGTACCACAAAAACAAATAGTGAATTACAGTGAATACTAGCAACATGTAAAATGAGAGCCTAAAAAGTCTTAAGTACAGAAATATACCAATCAAGTATTTTAACAAAACCAGAAACTTAGCTGCTGAAAAGCCAAGTTTAGTATCAGTCCTCTGTAGTCACATCTCAGTTTCATCATGACCACTGAACTTTGAAACAGCATCGAATCCTTACCTCTGAATCAAACCACAGTTTTCAAAGTTGTCATAAATTAACAACCATAGTCCTTTAGCTTGTGGGTATAAACTAGGATACATGAAACCATAAAGTCATGAACCCATTTATCCAACTTCCTTTTTTTTCTTTTTTTTGTTGTTCATGGGCCTGAACTCTGGGCCTGGGCACTGTCCCTGAGCTCTTCAGCTTAAGGCTAGTTCTCTACCACAGAGCCACTGTGGTACTGAGGAACTAAACCCAGGGCCTCATGCATACAAGGCAAGCACTCTACCACTGAACCACCTTCCCAGTTCCCATTTATCCAACTTTCAAGAAAGCACATTTCCATGAGTAATTGTTTACATACTAGCATATGCTCGTATCTCATCTCTCCATCTGTAAATTATTTCTGCCACAAATTCATGTCACAAAAATCAATGTAGGGCTGGGAATGTGGCTTAGTAGTAGAGTACACACGTGAAGCCCTGGATTCAGTTCCTCAGGACCACATAAACAGGAAAAAAAAAAAAAAAAGCAAAAAGTAGTGCTGTGGCTCAAATGGTAAAGTGCCAGCCTTTAGCAAAAAGAAGCTCAGGGACAGAGCCCAGGCCCTGAGTTCAAACCCCAAAACCAGAATAAAAAAAAAAAAAAAAAAAATCAATGTAAACTTTTGATCCCTTGCTGTAGAAAACTACAGGCCAAGGATTAAGTCATTCAGAATTACAATAATGTATCTTTTGGGTCATATAAATCTACATTTGTTCTTCTAATTTCATAATAAAATTCTAAGAATCAAGTGAAAATAACAATCTATTGGATACATATCTTTGTCAAAGTACAGTAATTTATTACTACTCAATATTATATTCTTGGTACTGAGTAAGTACAAGTAAAAAAACACATTGTTCTTATTTAGTTTCACTAGCTGGAGTAGGGAACAGCCCAAGGGCTACCTAAGCCAAATAAGGACCTCAAAATCATTTGGTACATAACATGACAGAAACATCTGGTTCTCATTATTTGCTATGGCCATCTGCCTATATTAATAATTGTGGTGGCCTCAAACAATATTATCAATACCCAAATGACCCTTGGCAGAAAAAAAAAATCTCCATCCTTGCTCTTTAAGAACAAGAGGGTAAAGGAAATTCACAGGACTGAAAAAGGCAGCTGAAAGATTAAAGAACTACTTAGTAATTCAATACATATTGGTTTAACTGCATTTTAAGATAGATAATCCAATGATATCATAAAAACTAGTCAGAGCTACTGGTGAGAAACAACTACATCTTCACATGTCTAATACATTTGTGTTAACATATGCAACTTAAGTGAAAATTAGAGAATAAAATAATCTATTAAAGTATCACTTCATGTATATGCTCAGAGATCTAGATATTCTTTCTGTATCAGTTGCCTCAGCAAAGACAAGACATTAAAAGCACACTGTGCATTCCAGTTTGAATTTCTGCTGAGCTGGCTGGTTCCCCAACAATTCTATGATTTCAGAATAGGAAATCCTAAACCATGCAAGTTAAGTAGTCATTACACTGGGATATCTATCATGGAAGACTGTATCGTAACAGGTAAGAAAGCAATTATGAGAGGACAGGGAAGTGGTTCAGCAGAAAGTTTGCCTAACATGTACACACATACACATATACACACATCACACACACACACATGCACGCGCACGCTCATGCGCGCACACACACACATGCACACAAACACACACACCCCGGGCTTGATCCTCAACACTGCAAGAAAAGAGAAGAGAAGGGTGAGAGGGGAGGAAAAAGGAGGAGAAAAGAGGATAAAAGGAGAGGAGGGGAGAAAGGAAGGGCTAAAAGAATGCAATTACAAGGATCTTAAAGAAAGCAAATGGCATAAGAGAAAAAACAAGAACTCACAAAATGGTTAAGGTATAAACCCTAAGTAAAGTTAGAGAACCTACTACCAAAGTTTAGAAAAGTTACATTATTTAAAACACTGGTTTTTCCCATTTGCAAGATGGAAATCATAATTCTTTTTTTTTTTTTTTTTTTTTGTTAGTCATGGGGCCTGAACTCTGGGCGTGAGCGCTGCCCCTCAGCTCTTCAGCTCACTTGAGCCACAGCACCACTTCTGACTTTTTCACTTATGTGGTACTGGAGAATCGAACCCAGGGCGTCATGCACGGGAGGTAAGCACTCTACCACTGAGCCATCTTCCCAGTCCCTGGAAATCATAATTCTTTATATAAGTGTGGTGAGGATTTAAAAAATCCACATAAAGCATGTAAGTGCTGACACAAAGCATTTGTTTATTTCATACTATCACTGTTTATTAGGTACCTACAATGGTCACTGGGTACCCCACAAGGTCCTAGATGTGTCATCACACCCCTATAGTAACTTGGGATGTAGAAAGTCATATCCTCATTTTACTATTTCTTGAAACTCAAGAAGAGTATACCAGAGATATTAATGATAACAAAAAAGAAATTCAAGCAGCATATCACACCACCAATGCTCATGCCCTTTATATGTAACACTGTATTGCCTCCATTTTTATAAAGTTCAACTTAGTAAATTTACTTTCTCAACTAAGTGATCTAGGTTACTTTTCTATCACTGTTCCTAAGAGCAATGCATCCTCCTGCGTATAGGTCCTAGGCCACCTACATCTGAAATAAAACTCAACACATTTACAGACCTGAAAATATTTGTGTATATTTTGGGCTCAACTACAAAAATATCCCCAAAAGTGAGCTGGGAAGGACTCAAAAAAAAAAAGTCCCCAAAAGTTAAAGCCATATACCTCTCACATGATTATTAAATAATAACTATGATTATTAAATAAATTTTTTGATTATTTGAGATCTTCAGAAATTTTATTTTCTTTTTTTTGACAGTCCTAGAGATTGAACCCAGGGACTTGCTCATTCAAGGGTAAGTACTCTATCACTGATCTATCTCATCATCAAATATTATCAATTCTAACTTTATGCTTGAACATATGAACCAATACATACATCTTGCTTAGGCAAAAAAGTAGTATGACATCCTAAGTTTTAACCCACCCATCATTATAGCTGAAATACCTGTACAGCATGTCGGTCTGAACCACTGTATACAGAAATCTGTGGCTGCTGCATTCGTGATGAGGACGTGGTGATGGTGGTGGTAGTGGTGCTACTGGCTGTTGTTGATACAGAAGATGCTCCAGGGTTTGGTTCACTATCCATAGTTGTACTGTGGTCCTTAAATCTGGCAGATAACACAAATTATTTGTATAGGTAAAAGCACTATGAGTTTAAAAAAATAATTCATTCTAAGGTCAAACACAGGTTGCTTATCCTTATTAATTCCAGGCAAAGATTGGGAAGATTGGAGTTTGAGGCCAGCCTAAGGGTAAAACAAGACCCTATCTAAATCAATAGCTGGAATAAGTGATGCATGTCTGTCATCCTATATATGTGAAAAGCATAAATAGGCAGACTTTAGTCCAGGCCAGCCTTGAAACACACACAAATCCCTATTAAAAATATAATGCAGGGGCTGGGAAGGTGGCTCAGTGGTAGAGCACTTGCCTTGCAGTGCTTGAGGCCCTGGGTTCGATTCCCCACCACCACATAAGCAAAAAGAAAAAAGCCGGAAGTGGCACTGTGGCTCAAGTGGTAGTGTGCTAGCCTTGAGCTGAAGAGCTGAGGAACAGCACCCAGGCCCAGAGTTCAGGCCCCACAACCGGACCCAAAAAAAAAAAAAAAAAAATATAATGCAAAAGGAAAGTGGGTCAAGTGGTAGAGCATCTGCATAGCAAGTATAAGGCCCTGAATTCAAACCTAGTACCCCTCCCACACACACAAATTCAGTCCAAAGAAATAATCAGTGTCTATGGGGCTGGGAAGGTGGCTCAGTGATAGAGCGCTTGCCTTGCATGCCTGAGGCCCTGGGTTCGATTCCTCAGCACCATACAAGCAAAAAGAAAAAAGCCGGAAGTGGTGCTGTGGCTCAAGTGGTAGAGCGCTAGCCTTGAGCTGAAGAGCTGAGGGACAGCGCCCAGGCCCAGAGTTCAGGCCCCACGACCAGACCCAAAAAACAAATAAATAAATAAAAGAATTGAGACAGGCATCAGTGTGGCTAATACCAGTAATCCTAGCTACTCAGAAGGCTGAGATCTAAAGATCTTGATTCCAAGCCAGGCCAAGAAGGAAAGTATGTGCAACTCTTATCTCTAACCACCAAAAAAGCCAGAAGCAGAACTGTGGCTCACGTGGTAAAGAACTAACCTTGAGCAAAAAAGCCTCAGGAACAGCATCCAGGCCACAGGACACACACATAAAAAATTTTTGTTAACTTAAATAGGAAAAAATTAATTAACTTACATATGGCTTTTTATCAGTCTACTTCTAATAAGTGAGTTTTGCTTATGGGCAGATTAGTGCACCTGAGGGAATAAGAGCAGAACCTCACATATCCATGCAAAAATTTACCCGAAAACTTGAAAGACGCATAATTAGGTCATTTTCCTCATGTACAGACAGTACATTTCTGTAGCAGACTTTCTGGTGTTAACTTTCCAAAATTACAATCTTACTTTGTGGTATAAAATTTTGCCCAATAGAGAATCTAATATTTTAATAAATTCATACATTTAAAGCCAACCATAATGGCTTCAATATTGTTATAAACTTTTTTTGGGAGGTGGAGGGGTGTAGGGTTGTGGGGCTTAAATGCAAGGCCTGATGGTGTCCTTGAGCTTTCTACCACTTTGAGCCACAGCTCCACTTCCAGTTTTTTGAGCCCTTAATTACAGATGAGTCTCAAGGGGCTGGCCCGGGTGACTCTCGCCTGTCATCCTAGCTACTCAGGATTGCTGAGGATCGCTGTTCTAAGACAGCCAGGGCAGGGAAGTCCATGAGACTCATGTCCAATTAACCATCATAAAACCGGAAGTGGCCCTGTGGCTCAGGTGGTAGAGCGCTCACCTTGAGCTGAAGAGCTGAGAGAGAGAGACTGTGCCCAGGCCCAGAGTTCATGCCCCCTGCCCAACAAGAAGTCTTAGGGGGACTCCCTCCCACTCTGCCCTGCTCTTGGACTGGTTTCAAACATAATCCTCAAATTTCAACCTGCTGAGTAGCTAGGATTACAGGCATGAGCCACTGGCACCAGACTGAAACTAGTTCTTATAGGGTCAGAAATACCCATTGGTTACACCTTCTCTTAGGGGTCTTTTCTGACAAACACATCTTGACTCACCTCACATTGGCAGCACTGACAATATTTTGTATTTTGGAGGGAGGAACGACTAGGCAGGCATGAACTATTCCTTTTATGGGCTTTAAAAAATATTTTTGGGGGGCTAGGAAGGTGGCTCAGTGGTAGAGCGCTTGCCTTGCATGCATGAAGCCCTGGGTTCGATTCCTCAGCACCACATAAGCAAAAAGAAAAATGCCGAAAGTGATGCTGTGGCTCAAGTGGTAGAGTGCTAGCCTTGAGCTGAAGAGCTGAGGGACAGCGTCCAGACCCCACAACCGGACCCAAAAAATATTTTTTTTGGCGGGGGGGGGGGGGGGGGGGGGGGGGGGGGTCTGGGGGGGCCCTCTGGGAACCCAAATGTAAAAATATCCATTTTGTTTTGAGACAGGGTCTTACTTTATGACTAGATCCTCCGGTCTCAGCCTCCCTGAGTGCTAGGGTTTACAGGTGTGCACCATCACCTGGGCTTCACAGCCCCTATTTGTAAGATGCAAATGAAAGGGGGGAAAAGGGGGCAGATTCTTCACTTTTTTTTTTTTTTTTAGAAAGTAAACCAGACATTTGTAATGCTTTACTGCTATTTTTTCAAACTGCCTTCCAATCACTAAATCACAGTCTTGTACATTAACTGTCCAATATGGAGAATCAGTAGTAGATAGGACCAACTTTTTACCAAAGTACTGCCTGTCAAAACACTTCGGCACCACATGCCAGTGGCGTGCCAAGTATCAGCTTAAATTCTGGTCCGTTTGTCCTCGAAGCCAAACACTATGTTTAAGTAAGCAGTCCTAACTTCTAACGAAACACGGTCACAGAGAAAATCTAGCCATGAAGTCTAAACGTAGGTGCGTGCAACTGGACAAAAACATCACGTTCCACTCCGAGGCCTGGCATAAAAGGGCACAATTTCTGGCAATTCCACTGATTAATTAAATACATAATTTAATTAATTATGTAGGCCGTACATAAGGGGCCTACCCAGGAAAACGGTGACTTTCAGAGTCCCTAGGTGAGCCAGACCAGAACGAGGCCCCGAGGCAGGCGTCCGCAGCGCTGCAGCCCGAGGCCACGGAAATCAGATCCTTCCCCGCGGAGTGCTCCCGAGGCCTCTGCGGCGCTGCCGGCGCGACTCTCAGTTCAGCACGGGGCCGCCTCCCCCTCAGCCCCGCCGGAGGGGCGGGCAGCCGGGCCTCGGGGTTCCCGTGCGGGAGGGGGCGGGCAGCCGGGCCTCGGGGTTCCCGTGCGGGAGGGGGCGGGCAGCCGGGCCTCGGGGTTCCCGTGCGGGAGGGGGCTGGCAGCCGGGCCTCCGGGGCCCCCGGCTGAGAAGCGGGGCGTCGCCCGGCCGACGCCCGGCTGGAGTGAGCGGAGCGCGGCGGAGGCCTCGGCCTCGCTTCCCACCGGGCCCGCCCGGCCTCCACAGGCCCTGGCTGCGATGACAGCGCCTGAGCGGCCCACCCAGGCTGCTGCCCGGCCAGGCCCCGGCGGCCCGGCCCCCGGAGGTGCCGCTGAGCGCCGGGCCCAGCCGATCCCGGACCAGACCGCGGAGGGGGGCGCACCCGCCGAGAGGGTTCACCGCACCGGGCGGGCTCCTCCACCGCAAAGTGGCTCTCGAGTCTCTCCCTGCACCACCACGAAGCAGGCCTGACCTCTCCCTCAAGGGGACGTGTCGCGGCTCCCGCCAGTTCCCCCAGCTCCCCCCCGCCCTCACGAGTACGACATCAGTCACCCGCAAGCCACTCACTCCGCTTCCGCCATCTTCTCTCCTCCATCACTAACAGGGGTTACGCATGCGTCCCCCGGCTGCGCGCGGAGGGGGTGGGGCGGGACCAGGTCACGTGGGATCTAGTTTGCCAATCACAGCCCATCCCCGCCCTCGCTCCGGCGGGGAGAGACTGGGCTCGACCTCGGTAGTGGTGGCTAGTCCTCAAGCCCTCTTTTCCTTTTTACCAATAAGTAAAAAGTTCTGTTCTGTTCAGAGTGCCTTGAAGGGAAATGCTCTCAGGGAAGGAAATGCCCGGCCCGTGCTTATTGGGGTAGCTGTCCGGGGCGCCCCGATTTTGAAGGTTCGAGTCTGCAGTCTTCCCCCGCTTAGAGGTAGTGTCACCTCCCGGGCAGCCCGTGGCCAAACAGGCGTCCGTGTCTTCCACACAAGTTTGACTGTGTATTTAGTAGGGATTGCAGATTTAATTGGAATTATCAGAAACAGCCATCGAATTGCTAGTTTACTGTATGTATACTAACCCTTTTGAGATGGCTTGAGACAGAGTAAAATGACTCCCGCACAAGTGGCTCATGCCCGTAATCTTAACTTCAGGAAGCTGAGCTCTGAAGATCACGGTTCAAAACCAGCCAGGAGAGAAAAGGTTGTGAGACTTACTTGCAATTAACCAGCAAAAATCTGGAATCGGAGCTGTGATTCAAGTGATAGAGTGCCATCCTTGAGTGAACAAGTCAAGGGACAATGCTGAGGCCAAGGCTCAAGCATCACTTGAAAAAAAAAAAATGTAGTGATATAAATATATCTTAAAAGTATAGCCCGGCTCCGGTGGCTCACACCTGTAATCCTAGCTACTCAGCAGGCTGAGATCTGAGAATCAAGGTTCAAAGCCAACCCAAGCAGAAAAGTCCCTGAGACTCTTATCTCCAATTAACCACCTGAAAACTGGAAATTGTACTGTGGCTCAAGTAGAGTGCTTGCCTTGAAGTGAAGAGCTGAGGGACAGCACTCAGGCCCAGAGTTCAAGCCCCACGGCCGACAAAAAAACAAAAAGTATAGTGTGGTTGAAAGAGAAATATTCTTAAAATTACAAATTTTGTTCCAAGATATGTTTAAGGAGAACAACACTTCCCCTATGTGTGGGCTTTAGTTATCCTTTACCTACTTTTCCTATCTGATAATGTTGTTGTTGCTTTTCTAAGAACTATCCTATCTGATTACAGTGCCCTTCCTTTCTTATATTTACTCTTAGAATTCACTGGGAAAGACACTCAAAACCAAAACCAAGCCAGCCCCTGGTGATTCATGCTTGTCATCCTAGTTATTCAGGAGGCTGAGATCTGAGTATTGCAGTTTAAGCAACCCCAAGCATAAAAGCCCCTGTATGACTCTTAGCTCCAATTAACCACTCAAAAACAAAACAAAACAAAACAAAAACTGGAAGTGGAACTGCAGCTCAAAGTGGTAGAGGCTAGCCTTGAGCAGAAAGAGAGGTCCTGAATTCAAGCCTCACTACAACAAAAACCAAAAATATAAACCAAAAAACATCAAATGCTTAAAAACAAGATGTTAGGGGGGCAAACCTCCTCAGGAGGCCGAGACCTGAGAATCATGATACTGAGCCAGCCAACAAACAATTCCCAGACTCTTACCTTCAGTTTCCCTAACTATCACAAAGCAAGAAGTGGAGGTATGGCTCAAGCATGTTAGAGCCCTCAGCCATGACTGGGGGAAAGAGAAGCCTAGGGCTGGGAAGGTGGCTCAGTGGTAGAGTGCTTGCCTTGCATGCCTGAGGCCCTGGGTTCGATTCCTCAGCACCACACAAGCAAAAAGAAAAAAAGCCGGAAGTGGCACTGTGCCTCAGGTGGTAGAGTGCTAGCCTTGAGCTGAAAAGCTGAGGGATAGTGCCCAGGCCCAGAGTTCAGGCCCCATGACTGGACCCAAAAAACAACAACAACAACAAAAAGAGAAGCCTAGCAGGCAAGCAAAGTTGGGAGTTGAAGCTCTAGTATCAGTACGAAATAATAATGTTTTAATTTTTTCTTTCAGCCAAAATTGCTCTCTTTTATCCCTTTCCCTGAATAAACAGAGAAAGTTTATTTCCTTGTATTGGCAATATGAAGATTGGCTTTAAAAATGGTAGTGTAGGGCTGGGAATGTGGCTTAGTGGTAGAGCATTTGCCTAGCATTCATGAAGCTCTGGGTTCAATTCCTCAATATCACATAAATAGAAAAAGAAGGAAGCAGCACTATGGCTTAAGTGGTATAGTGCTACCACTTAAGAAAGAAGCTCAGGGACAGTACCCAGGCCCTGAGTTCAAGCCCCAGGAACAGAAGAGTTCTAAAGCCATGCATCCAAGGCTCACACACACAATCCTAGCTACTCAGGAGGCTGAGACCTGGAGAATCAAAGCTGACCCCAGTAGAAAAGTCCAAGAGACTTCATCTTCAAAATAGCCAGCAAAAAAGCAAGGTTGGAGGCATAGCCCAAGTGGTAGAATGCCTTCTGAACAAGCAAGCTGAAAAATTAACAGGCCCTGACTTCACACAGCTATAAAGGGAAGTCAGCAAAGGGAAGAGAGAACAGGATTTAGTTTCAACCCAGGCACAGTGATGTGCCCTATAATCGTAAATATTCAGTGAGCTGAGAAATTAAAACTTAGATTCTTCATTGCATCAATCCTATGTCAGGGGCTCCTTGGCTGGCTGTGCCTATGGTTACTGTATAAGACAATGCATATTAGAACTTTACCACTATTACAGATAGTCCTAGCAAGCACTGATATGGATTCAAAATCATCCCATAGGCCAGATCTCACCTGCCACTTGTCTTTGAATAGCCACCAAGCTATTTCATTTTTGCATTTTTTTAATAATTTTTTGACAGCCTCGAGGCTCAAAGCCAAGGCCTGGGGGCACTGTCCTTCAGCTTTGTTTGCTCAAGGCTAGCACTCTACCACTTGAGCCACAGTACCATTTCCAGCTCTTTCTGTTTAAGTGTACTGAGGAATCAAACCCAGGCAAGCATTCTATCACTAAGCTACATTCTTAGGCCTTTTTTTTTTTTTTTACAGTTTTAAAAATCAAAAGAAAAATATTGTTTTGTGGAAATTAGGAATACTGTGAACAATTATAGAAAGTTTAGAACTTAATATCCACAAATAAAAGGTCCTTTTGCTTTTTGGTCAGTTGTGAGACTTGAACTCTAGGCCTGGGTGCTGTCCCTCAGCTCTTCAGCTCAAGGCTAGCATTCTATCACTTGAGCCACAGCACCACTTCTGGTTTTCTGGTGGTTAATTGGAGATAAGAGTTTCACAGAGTTTCTTTTCTGGGCTGGCTTTGCACTGTGATTCTCATATCTCTCAGTTTGTATATTTTTAATTTCCTTGAGTATTGCTGTGGTTTGAATGTCTCTCCTAAAGTTCTTTATCCTCAACTTCATAGGTTAATAGCATTGAGAAGTAGAGCCTGATTAGGATTAGGTCATATGGTCAGTGCTCCCATGAGAAGAGGGAGAGATCTAAGCATGGACTTGCTCTGTTTCACTATATGATGCCCTCTATCACATTATGATGCAGAAACAAGGACCTTGTCTGATCTCAACACCATATTCTTAGACTGGTCAGTCTTTGGAACTATGAACCAAATAAACTATCAATTACCTAGGCTCAGGTGTTTTGTTACAGCTACAGAAAATGGTCTGAAAATATACACCCAGCAGTTGAATTTGTTGGTTACATAGCAACTCTATGTTTAATATCTTGAAGAACTGTCAAACTGGGCTCCAAATCAATTTTACCCTTTGCACTCTCCCAATAATTTACACTCTATCAATAAGGAATATGAGTTCAAATTTCTGAACAACAAGTAACCCTTGTTATTATCCATCCCCAGCTCTATTGACATATAATTGATCATTAAATCTTTGCCTTTTTTGTGAGTATGTAAGTATGTATAATCCTGGGGCTTGAACTCAGAGCCTAGGTGCTGTCCCTGAGCTTTTTTGCTCAAAGCTAGCGCTCGACTACTTGAGCCATAACTTCACTTCTGGCTTTTTGAATTGCAATCCTCAGATCTCAGCCTTCTAAATAACAAGAATTACAGTCATGCACCACTGGTGCCTGGCTTCTGCCTATCTATCTAAAGGTTTTTTTTTTTTTTTGGTCAGTCGTGGGGCTTGAACTCTGGGTCTGCGCGCTTTCCTTCAGCTCTTCACCTCAAGGCTAGTGCTCTACCACTTGAGCCACAGCATCACTTATCTAAAGGTTTTGAAGTACTATCTCATTGTGATTTTTTCTACCTGAATTTTCTTTTTTTTTTTTTTGGTCAGTTGTGGGGCCTGAACTCTGGGCCTGGGCGCTATCCCTCAGCTCTTCAGCTCAAGGTGAGCGCTCTACCACTTCAGCCACAGCGCCACTTCCGGCTTTTTTCTTTTTGCTTAGGTGGTGCTGAGGAATCGAACCCAGGGCCTCAGGCATGCAAGGCAAGCACTCTTCTACTGAGCCACCTTCCCAGCACCCCCTAGCTGAATTTTCTTAGTGACTAATATCTTTTTGTTTTCATTACCTGTCCATAAATATTTTTTTGAGAAGGGTCTGTTCACATTCATTGCATATAAGGAGAATTGAGGGAATTTTTTATTCTTTAGTGGTATGAGTCAGCTATCTAATCTACACTATTCCCTTTCATATGTAATTTCCAATTATTTTCTCCCATTCTGTCGAATTATTATTTTTGTTGTTGTTGTTGTTGCAGTACTGGGGTCTGAACTTAGTTTGTTTTCTGTGCTGGTACACTATCACTTGAGCTATGCCTCCAGTCCTGCTTTTTGCTAGTTATTTTTTGGAGATGAAGTTGACTTTTTTGTCCTGAGTGACTTGGAACCTTTATCCTCAAGATCCCTGTCTCCTGAGTAGCTAGAATTACAAGTTTGAAGCACCAGTACCTGGCTTAAGATAGTCTTTCTTTCTTTCTTTCCCTTCCTTCCTTCCTTCTTTCCTTCCTTCTTTCCTTCCTTTCTTCCTTTTTGCTTTTTGTCTGCCCTCCCTTTCCCCT